GGGGCGGGTTTGCCAAGAGGATGCCAAAGGAGGGGTAAGGGAGAGCTTTCTCACAAGCCCACCTTTGCCATCGGTGTCAAGAGGCATTCAGAGGATGTTATGCTTGTATCAGGGAGCGTTGAGGTATGACAAGGGTAGGTATGGAGGATCTGCTGATCTGGATGGCAGACGGAGGCTTTCTCTAGAGTAAAAAGCCTGCTGCAGACCCCTTTCTAACCCTACCCTATTTGGAGGTCAATCTCAGTCCTGCAGTTCAGTGTGATTTACTCCTGAGCACACAGGGCTTCAGCCTTGAGGACTAGGAACTTGTCCAAAAGCGGAAAGGAAAGGTCTCAGGACACTGTGGCGTGAAATCCGGACCTCAGGGAGCACGATGTTCAAAAGATGGGGCCCTGCGCGCGTGTCCCGCACAGCCTGGATGCTGAACCCCTCTGCCTGAGGACGTACGTGTGCCTCGGTGCCACCTCCGCCTTCCTCTCTGCTCCCTTCTAGGAAAATACATCGCCAAGTACGCCGAGTGTGGCTTCAAGACCATCTGGTTCGCCAGCGCCTTCAAGGGCACCACCGGCCCCGCGCAAGCCTGGACTCCGTTGAACCACCACCTGCAGAACCACCTGAGGTGGCTGAAGGTCATGCAGTCGATGTCCGCCACGCCTTCCATCCGCTTCCAGGGCCTCGTCCTCACCGGCTGGCAGAGGCAAGTCCGCCGAGCGTAGTCCCCCGCAACCCGAACGCTGGCCCTCTTCATTGCCCCTGCCCAGGGGAAGGCAAAAGGAGGCACTCTGCTGATGCTCAGAGACACCCAAGTTCTCAACCCTATCCTGCCTTCCAGCCGGAGTTGCTGGCAGTGAATCCGATTCGGGGTCTCCTCCCAACGCTCAGTCACTTTGGGAGATTTCCCAAAGATGCCTTTTTTTTGGAAGGAGGAGGCTTCAGGGGGTGGCAGTGGGGAAACACACACTCCCCCCCCCCTCAAATGGGGCTCGGTCCTTTTCTTTTGTGGGGAGGAGGGGGGTAAAAAGCTGGCTCTTTGGGGTGGCAGCACCAAAGACACGGGGACTTTTGACACTGCCGGGGGGTGGGGGGGAAATCTCTTCCTGTAAAATAGGATGTGTTTGGGGGAATGATTAGGGCTTTCCTCCCCGCACATCACAGCAACCAGCTTTCCTCTCTCTCCCCCCCCTCCGCCCCTTCCCTGCAGGTATGATCATTACTCAGCTCTCTGCGAGCTCCTGCCGGTCGGCATTCCTTCCTTGGCCATCTGTCTCCAGACCTTGGTGAACGGTGAGGGTCCCTGATGAGGATGGGCGGGGAGGGGATGGGATGGGATGGAACGGGACATGGAAGGGTGGAGGAGCCGGTGCCTTCAAGGCACGTTATGACTCAGAGGGTCAGAATCAAGGGCCTGACAGGGATGGATGCGCACCAGCCCTGAAGGCACCGCCTGTCCCCGAGTATCTGCCCAGCTCAAGACTTTGAAACCAAGACTCGAACTAGGTTCCGGGGGTCCTCTGACCCTGAAAAATCTCCCCCTGCCTGCCCTCCTCCCCTTCCCCACCCTTTAGAAGTTGTTTGGGAGCCTCTGTGAGGATGTGGAGAGAAGTTATCCGAAGCCCTCTGTACGCCCTTGGCTTTCCAAAACTCTTTTGTCCGGCTGCTCTGGCTTTAAAAATCTGCAGGGTGAGACGGGGGGGATGATGGGTCCTCCCTTTTCTCCTCCTTCAGGGGGATTTACCGAAGCCACCAAGAAGAAGGTCCTGGCCATGCTGGGCTTCCAAAGCATGAATCTAGAGAAGAGCACCTGGTGGGTCTTGGCGTTGCCTCTGTGTTTTTCAAAAGCGCCCCCATTCCTCCCTCCCGTCAGCAGGATTTGGGGTTGGGGGGGGCGGCGGGTCTGGTCGCTTTGAGCCACCAAATCTCCAGGCAGCTACAAATCACGAACCTACACCTTTTGGAGGGAGAATCTCTCAGAGGCTCCTTCTGGCCGTACCAACGCTTCCATGGTGGGAGAAACCATTTTGGGGGGTGAGGGGGGTGGAGGGCTCTCCTTGGCGGGAGGTTTTTAAACTAGGTGACTCCGGAGGGACCCCTCGCAACCCTCCCTGATCCTACGATCCGGCATCTCACCCTGTCACCGCCTTGTGTTTCCACCAGTGATGGCAATGGGGCCTTTCCTGGCTCTGACATCTACCGGATGGTGGAGCAAGTCAACAGCCAGCTGAAGGACTCGGTGGTCAAAATCCTGGAGGAAGAGAGGTACGTGTTTGGGGGTGGGGTGGGGGTGGGGAAGGACTTTTGTTCCCCAATGTACTGTCCCATGGGGCAGGGGGCTGTCAACGTGACAGAAGAGCATCTCTTGAACTTTAAGAGACATGCACCTTCTCTGCCCGCATAGGCCTTCTCCACTCTTATCTCCAATCGCTGATCAGAGATAAGAGTGAAGATTTTGCTTGCCCGGCTCTTTTTTTGTTGTTGTTTTTTTAATCTCCACTCTGTGGCTGGAGGGAAGAAGGGGGTTTCCTGTCTCAGCCCTACACACCGGAACTCCCTTCATCGGCAGAGGAGGCGTCTGGGTGGGCGGAGCAGGGAGCCTGGCCTGAGAAGGAGTCCTCGGTTTCCTGGAAGAAGAGACCCTTCTAGGCCAGATCCAGCATGAAACCGTACAGAAAGAAAAGCATCCGTATCGGGCAGGAGAGAAATGTAGCCGACTGGCTGAACAAGCCCAGTTTACTTGTATTGATGCAGCGATTCTTCCTAAGACTTGGGTTGGATTTGGCTGGGAGACATGTCTCCTTTGATCTTGGGTCGTCAGCTCTTACCTCTCTCTGTGTGTGCGATTGTGTGTGTGTGTATGTCCTTGCCTGGGATTCCCGGCTGCTTAATTAATCGGGGCGCCTGGTCTCCTCCTGGCACGGCAGCTCCATCAAGGGATGGTTCAGCCCCTACCATCGGAAACACCAGTTCGGCAACCCTCGCAATCTGGAGAACTTCGGTAGCAAAGTGCTCAAGTGAGTGAATTCTCCCCACCCCACCCCACCCCCCGGCCCCTGTTGCAGGAGGGTTAGTGGGTGGGACGAAGCCTCCAAATCCCCATCACCACCAGAGAGAGGGAGGAGAGACGCTCGAGCTGCAATCGGGGGTGTGGGTGCCTCGTTTGGCAAGCGCCTTGCAGCCGGAGCTCTTTCTTTGAGTAAAACAGGCAAACTGTGCGGATGTGTTCCGCCCTGATGGAGAGTAACGATTATTATGGGCTGCCCAGTCCGTTCTTTCCCCGGTAGAGAATACTCAGAGGTGATTCCCTCTTCCCTTCTTCTGGGGACCGAGTGCCGATTTTGCCCAAGGCTCTGCAGGGTTCTCTCCTCCTCCTCCTCCTCCTCTCGTTTCCAACGCGGGCTCTTTCTCCCCAGGGTCCACGAGGACTGGGAGAGCTTCATCCAGACCCTCCGCTCCCACTTGGAAGGCATCTACTTCCCAGACACGGTGGAGGAGTGGATGGAGGAGAACATCAACCCCCACATGGACCGGCTGCGCGAGTTCGTCCGAGACTTCCGAGAGGTCATCCGCCTCAACGCCCGGCCGAAGGCTCTCGACTAGGGACCTTTCCCGCAAGGGGGTGGCCCAGAGACCCAGGCCGAGGAGGGTGGCTCTTCGGTGGTTGCATATTAAATATGGGGGGAGGGGAGGGGAACAGAAAAGGTGGGACACTGAGCCCAGGCCAAGAAGGCAAAGAGTCCGGGGCAGGGGCAGGCTTCGTTTCCCGGCATGACAGGACAGGATACGTCTCTGGGCCCGTTCCCAATCTCCACCCGGTTCCTCTCCAAAAGATGGGGATGGGATTGGGTGGGTGAGAACTAGACTTGGCAATGAACAGAATT